CCATTGGGGATGTGGATAGAAGTGTTGGTTCTGTCTTGGAAAAATGGCATTTGGAAAAGCTTTGAAGGTTGGAAGATAACATTCTTCACAGCATCAAAGAATCTCAACTATGATAATAAGTGCCTGTTGTTCACATCACATGTTTGAGAACGGTATATTTCTGACAAGTGGTGTAGAAACATTTAAAGTCTGGAATTTTTGCTTGCAACAACAACAACAAATGGGAAATTAAAAATGTAACCTAGCTTCAGTGGTGGTTGCATATTTATGATTTTTGCATTTTTCTATGTGTATATGCTACTTCATTTTTTCAAAAGCTTATTTTTTAAAAGACTGATAAAATAGTTCTTGTAGATAAAGAAGGGTATATTTGAAGCCTGGGTAAGCTAAGCAAGTTGCATGACCACATCCTGATTCTTTTTTATCTGTGAAAATGATAATGGAATAAGTTGCCACTTTCTTCCAAGAGATAAGTTTCTATATCTTTACTTGGTCAGTACATGGTTGAGTTTCTAATTTATGTCCATTTGCCTCCCATTTCCATGGTAAGAAGTTAAAGAAAATATTTCTTTCATTCCTATATTTAAAAACAAATTTTCTGTGCTACTCAGCCTGCTAGTAACTCTCTCCCAATTCTACCTTTTTGCATAATCTCAGAATGATTTACAGAAAACAAACACCTTGCCTTTCCTCAGGTTTGGCTGGGACAAATGAATCCATAAATGTTGTGGAACAATAGGAAAGGATGTTGAAATATTTACAGACTTGTAAAATGAAAATTAGCATGGAAAAGAAGGTATTTTACTCCCTTTCATAGGGGAATTATCTTTTTATTTGGATGTAATATTCATCCAGAACTTGAGCTCTCATTTGCTTGGCTATCCTGAAAATAAGGCACAATTGGTCAGATAGAAAACAGAGTGAAGGCATATACATACCAACAGTGGGTCTCGCCGGGACCAGTTTGGCTCAGTGGATAGAGCATCGGCCTGTGGACTGAAAGGTCCTGGGTTCGATTCCAGTCAAGGGCACATACCATGTTTGCGGGCACATCCAAAGTAGGGGTGTGCAAGAGGCAGCTGATTGATGATTCTCTCTCATCGATGTTTCTAACTCTCTATCCCTCTCTCTTCCTCTCTGTGAAAAATCAATAAAATATATTTAAACAAACAAACAACAACAACAACAACAAAAACAACAGTGGGTCTCATAAAGAATAAATCAAGTTTAATAAAAAATAAATGTTAAACATTTAAAAAGTTAATTTATTGAAATATGGAATTGGAAAGAGCTCAAGTGGTAGTGTAGTCAATGTTCCTAAATTCACCTTTGGAAATACAGTCTTATCAAGCTGAATAATATCTCTACATTACTTCAGACTGCAGCCTAATTTGATTAGCTCATTTTATTAAATTCTTTTTTTCAAGATGTTATTTTGAAAATTTTCAAATCTACAGGAGAATTACAAGATAGTACAATGAACACCAAATACCCCTAACTTAATTCCACCAGTTATTAAATTTTACCACATTTCTGTGAGTGCTCTCTTTATATGTGTGAGTTTGCTGAATCAATTGAAATTAACTTGCTGATATCACCCCTAAGTAGCTTAGCATGTATCTCTTTAGAATAAGAACATTTCTTATACTAGTGTAACCATAATACCATCCCTGAACACAAGACATTTAACATCTATAATAATAAAAGTGTAATATGCAAATTGACTGAACGGCCAAACAGCAGAATGACTGTCTATCTGAATGACCACACTATGACACCCACCGGTGCCAGGCCAGCCAAGGTGGGTGTGATGCGATTGGTGGGGGGCCCCACCACTACTCCATGATCACCCAGAGAGGGAGGCCCAGGCCCCTGGCTGGTGGGGTGATCAGTTGGGGTGCTCTCAGATTACCCTAAAGCGGGAGGCTCAGGCCACTCACAGGTGGTCTGTGGTGGGTGGGTGGGGTCTCCCTTTGGGGGGCAATTCATTGTGGAGCCCTGGCTGGATGAGTGGGGCCTACCTCTTTGAAGCAATTGATTGTGGAGTCCCGAGATTGATCACCCGATAGAGGGAGGCCCTGGCTACTTGGCCTGTGGCTCTATGAGAGGTTGAAGGTCGGGCTGAAAGACCCCATCCCTGGGCATGAATTTCATGCACCAGGCTTCTAGTTGATAAATACCAGCATCTAATATACAGTTCATAATCAAATGTCTTCAATTGTCATACTTTCTTTAATCATTTTTTTGGACAAAGAATCCAATAAAAGATAAACATAAGCTCTTTAGGAATCATGTATTTTTTAACTTAGAATATTCTTCCTCTCCTCTTTTTAATCTTTCATGATATGGACATACTTTGGAGAGTCCATGTCTGTTGTCTTGTAGCATGTCCTAAAATCTAGATTTGTGTGATCGTTTTCTCATAAAAGTTAAATATGTTTGTAGGTAAAAATACATGTGTATATATGTATTCCTGTTGTTTTCCCCATATATGTTATATTTTCCCATATCTGAGAACTTGCTCACACAGAGCATCTCTTTAATTACTGCCCTTCCCCCACCACATCTTTACAAGGCTCTGTTCAATATTTAATCTTATCTAGGTGATTTCCCTAATGACCTTTATCCCAAAATAATATTTCAATATCCAAATAATTTAGCTTTTCTTTTCTTATTAGAATTTACAATTTTTTAAAATATGTGTTTTTATTTATTCACATATGTTACTTTATCTTGTCTCCAATTAAATCCTCCTAAGGGCAGACCTAATTTATCTAGATTCCCTGTAATCAAGCATTGTTTTACAAAGTAGGCAATCAATATATTTGTTGTTGAGTGAATGACTAGATGGATGAATAAATTAATGAAAATGTTATCTCTATTTTCTGAGAATCAGTGAGTTGGTTAAAATATTTCTTTAAAAGGTTAAAATAATTTCTTCTTAAGTGTATTTCTGCACCCAGAATAGTCTAATTAAAAAAATTAAATTTTAGTTTTAATAAAAATAAAATATGTATATTATATGCCTTGGTATAAGCTGTTTTAAAAAGCAATTTGCTAAGCATTGAGGGAAGCCTTTCAATCTGGACAGATCATTCTTTCAGTTTGGAAAATAGTCATATATTTTTTCTTATATATATTTTTTATAATTTCTTCTTCTGCGTTTTTCTATTCCCTCTAGAATAAAGAACTATGTCAAACATTGAAACTTCTGGATTAATCCTCTGCAACTCTTAACTTTTCTTTCATATTTTCTATCTTCTACTTTCTAAACTATTTCCTTTCAACCTATTATTGATCTTTATTTAAAATTTGAAAGTCATGTTTTTAATTTTCAAGAGTTTTGTGTTTTGAGCACTCTTTTTAAAATAGCATCCATGAATTGTTTTATGGATGCGATATCTTTTCAAATCTTTGGAAATATTGATTAAAACTTATTTTCTTGTGTTCCCTGCACTAACTGTTTAAACTTTCTTTAAGTGTTCTTATTTCTATCTTGGTCTTTCCCTCATTCACATTAAAGGCATTTTAAATATTATATATAGAAATCTCTGTGTGCTGAAAAGCTGATTGGAAATTCTGTGTATATGAGCAATGTTTGCCAGCTGTCAGGATGGCTATAGGTTACTTGAATGTTGAGTTAGGCATTATAATGTGAAAACTCCCAAATCCCAAAACATGGAGTTCTCTTTTTCTGACATCATTTAGTTTCCTTAGAAAAGAACCATTCAGTTTTTGTTTTGTTTTGTGGTGTGTGTGTGTGTGTGTGTGTGTGTGTGTGTGTGTGTTTTGGCCTGAGGAGTAACTTCTCATTGCTGAAATGTCACTCAACAAAGGTGTGTGTGTTTATGTTTTGCTCCTGATTCAGAGTTTTAGCTTGACCCCTATGTTTTTACGCCCTCATCTCACTCCTTCCCTCTGTAACCTATGAATCAGCACGCAAAGCCTCAATTTCATCCAGTTGCATCAGTTACCCCTCATCTCCCATCTATATTCCATCTGCCAGAATTTTGTTAAAATCCCTAACTCTTTGATGGACTCTCCTGTCTTCTTGTCATGGGTTTTTATGTTCTTTTTATTTTTATTATACCATGATTTTGGTGGAATCTTGAGAAAGAGAGGATATAAATACAAGGAAATATGTTTTAAGATATTGATTCCAACTAAATCAATTTGTCATCTTTAATCAGACTGTGTGCTTAATTTTATCTTATTTTTTAAATTTATTTTTTAAATATATTTTATTGATTTTTTACAGAGAGGAAGAGAGAGGGATAGAGAGTTAGAAACATCGATGAGAAAGAACCATCAATCAGCTGCCTCCTGCACCCCTCTTCCCCACTGGGGATGTGCCCGCAACCAAGCTACATGCTCTTGACCAGAATCGAACCCTGGACCTTTCAATCTGCAGGCCGACGCTCTATCCACTGAGCCAAACCAGTTTCGGCTGTGTGCTTAATTTTAAAAGAGTATGTGTGATAAGCTTCCTCCTCTGTAAATCTGGCCTTGTGAATAGTGTACATTTTCTGCTTAGAAGATTAAAGAAATGATTCCCTATGTGATTACGGGAGTAAGGTTCAGGCAACCTTGGGAGGTTTCAAGTTTCCTACTGAGTAATCTGGGCAAGGGGAAAGTACCAAAGAGACTGCGTAGGGAAGTATGAGATAAACTCTCTCTTTATGACTTCAGAAGGCTGGTTACTTATTTGCTGCTGGGATAAGATAAAAATGGCCAAATAATTGGGGAAGTTCTACAAACCCCTTGTCAAGCTAAGTTTCATTCCGACGCCAACTCCTGCTCCCATGCACGTCTGCACCTTCGGTTACCTTAGGTCTCCAGTACCTGCAGCATCACCCAGGAAGGCCCCTCCAGAGCCCGACTCACCCGCAAAACATTTCCCCTTTGAGCGACGATGGCATTGGCTGGTTACTCACGCCTCGGATTCCTCAGGATTGGTTGGAACTGCAAATAAAACACTGTTTGCCCATAACCAAGCTGATAAGGCACAGCATAAATACTCACAAGTTCCTCTTCTCTGCCTATCATGGGAAGAAGTGTTTTGCTCTCTTCTTTCCTCCTACCATTTTCATGCAAGAACCCGGAGGAGACACGTTGTCTCCTGGCCGAAAAGGAGAATTCATGAAAAGCTTGACATGGGCCTGTTGAGTTCTAAAACTCCCAAAGTGAAGCAAGCCCAGATTCTCCTTCTGGGCCTGGACTCTGCGGGGAAGTCCACCGTCCTGTATAAGCTAAAGCTGGCCAAGGACATCGTGACCATGCCCACCGTGGGGTTCAACGTGGAGATGCTGGAGCTGGGCAAGAGCCTTTCCTTCACAGTGTGGGATGTGGGGGGCCAGGAGACGATGAGGACCCTGTGGGACTGGTACTGCGAGCGCGCCGACGCGCTGGTGTACGTGGTGGACAGCGCGGACCGGCAGCGGCTGGAGGACGCCAGGAGGGAGTTCGAGCACATCCTCAGGAACGAGCACATCAGACACGTGCCGGTGGTCCTGCTGGCCAACAAACAGGACGAGCCGGGGGCGCTGACCGCCGAGGACATCACCAGGCTGTTCCAGGTGCAGAAGCTCTGCTGCGACCGCAGCTGGTACGTGCAGCCCTGCTGTGCCATCACCGGGGCGGGGCTGGCCGAGGGCTTCGGGAGGCTGACCGAGTTCGTGAAGAGCTACATGCGATCCCGGGCCGACACGTTCGCCTTCTTCAAGCAGAACTGAGGTCCGAGCGGGGGAAGGCCAAGTTGAAAAGGTAATTTTCTTCTTCTCTCCATGCCGAGTGAGGAAAGAAAGTTGCTGAGATGGCAAGTTGTTTTTCCCCCCCTTTTTTCCCCCTGAGATGTTATTGCACCCAAATTAAGTTAAATAACTCATAAGAATAGCTATGAAATATTATTTTTTTTGGCCACTTTAGCAGACTGTGGTCATAATAATCGAGAATGAAAAATGTACTGTTTTGTGCATGCTGAGTGGTTCAGAATAAGTCTATTTGAGGCCAAATACATTATGGCTTTATTATTCTTATTATATGACTACTAAGTCAACTGTTCTGCTAATAGAGCCAGAATTCTTTCAGATGGTTTTCAGCTGTTTCCACCACACTCCTATGTAATAGTTTGGATGGTGTAAAAACAAAAACAAAAAACTTTAAGTTATAGAGAGGAAAAAGTTTGATGTTAATGTTTTGTAAATCCCTATTTATTTCCTACTATATAAACTTTCTCTTCTGGATTCCTGCCAGCTTTTTGAAACCTATTGCTGGGAACTTTGTCCAGGGAATCAAACAATGAACTGCTAATCTACCAGAGGCTGTGTTCCCTCATAGGCGGCGGAAGTTTGTATCTTAAAGCTCTAGGGATCAGGATAACACCTTGGAGTTTAGGGCAAGGCTCAGCTGGAGCTGCGGCCCCAAGACCAGCTTCAGTATAATTCAGCAAAAACAATCATTACCTGAGAACTGTGTACAGCTCACTGTACTGATCAAACAGGAACGAGAGCCAGACTTTGCTCACAGTGGGTAAGGACATAAAGCTAATCAGTAGAACAGGACAATGAATGCTTTGTGATATAACAGGAGATACTCTCTCTGACCTGGAAAAACAGGAAGTGCTTCATGCAGGAAGTGGTGTTTAAGAGGGCACCCAACTCCTGGGACCCCACAAAGTTACAGGTTAGTCACTGGAAGTTCCATCATGAGGAGACTCTTTAGAGATGCCGTGGGGGAGGGCAGGAAGAGTGAAAGAACTAGAGATTGAATTGGAATTCCCCAGAACTCCTAAGGAGGCCCTGGTACTATTTCCTCCTCCCCCACCTTTAAGAAGGCTCATTTGGGCTAGAAGGCGGCTTCAAACCTCCATGGCAGATCCTGAGACTCCAAATCTTAAGGTCACAGAGAGAAATAACGGTATAATAAAATCAGGGTGCCAGGCCCTAGGTTCCTTTCTTGGTTTTCTTCTCTCATCTTGGCCATGATTTGTTTAGCAGAGATCGGAGCAGCTACTTTTGTGCTATGTGGTAGCAATTCAAATAATAAAGTAGGCATACACATAATGCTAGTTACCATTGGTTGAATGCTTGGGTGTGTTCTATAAACACTTTCATACATCTTCTCATTTAATGTTCACGATGCCCTGAGAGGAATAGGAGTTACCTCAATTTTACAGATGAGGGTCCTGAGACTAAACAAGGTTAAACAATAACAACCACAACCACACACACAAAAAAAGGACTTAATATTTTAACTAAGGAGTGGCAGAGCCAAGATTAAAACTTAGCTGTGTCTAACTTCAAGACCTGTGCTGTTAATTGCCATGATAGTGTTTTATAAGTCAGGTTTGGTCTCTGTCTTCAATGAGCTTACAAGACACAATTAAGAATAAGTCCAGTCTAAATTAAAAATAGAACTACCATATGATCCAGCAAGCCCACTTTTGGGTATATATTTAAAAAAATGAAATTGCTCTCTCAAAGAGGTATCTCTACTGTCATGTTCAGTGCAGCATTATTTACAGTAACCTATGTGTCTGTTGATGGATGGATAAAGAAAATGTGGTATATACACACAATGGAGTTTATTCAGCTACAAAAAAAGAAGGAAATCTTGCCATTTGCAATGACATGGATAAAATGGGAAGGCATTATGCTAAGTGAAATAAGCCAGACTGAGAAAGACAAGTACTGTATGATCTCCCTTACATGTAGAAACTAAAAAAGCCAAATTCATAGTAACAGAGTAGATTGGCAGTTGTCAGGAGCTGGGGGTGTGGGAGAGGTGTGGGGTAGAGAAGGATGGGGAGAGATTGCTCAAAGGCACAAACTTTGCATAAGATAGGTAATTTTTGAGGTTCTAATGTATAGCATGGTGACCATAGTTAATACTATATAACATGAAATTTTCTAAGAGAATACATTTGAAGCATCCCCCCCCCCCACACAAAGTTAACTATGAGGTGATGTTAATTAACTTGAGTGTATGAATCCTTTTACAACATATATCAAATCATCAAGTTGTATACTTTAATGTATTACTATGTGTGAAATATAAAATATATTTTGTCAATTATACTTCAGTAAATCTGTGTGGGGAAAGACAAATTCAGGCCAACATATGGTATTTTTATAAAAAGTTTCTTTGAAAAAAACAAGCCAGGCAGAATAAATTGAATATAATAACAGAGATATAAGACAAATGCTGAAAGATTGTGGAAAATGAGTTTCTGATTTTAGGAAGACCTCAGGGTAGTTGCAATGTTAAATGCTTACTAGCAGAGTTTTTCCAAAGTTTCACAAAATAAAACTTCAAGAAATGCATCTTTAAAGAATATGAATCATCTCTTAATACTTTCCCTATGTATTTTTAAAAAATCTTAATCTTAAAATTAGGAGTCACTAACTTACGTCTATATAAAATGTCTAAATAAAAAATGTGTCCTGAAATTTTGATAGTTTGAATTGTCAAGTCCCTTGTGGCCCAGTCTTAGCAAAAATATTGAAAGTAAATAAAACATTTTCTTCAGAAAGCTCTAGATGTGTGTTGTGGGTGTAGTGGATAGACGTACTCTTTAGAGCAAAACTTATAAAGTAGCTCTTTTCTATCTGTCATGTCAACATCCCTCTTCCATACAGTGGCTATACCTCAACATCTCTACTAATATTTTCTCAGAAACTTGAGCTCTTTCACGCCATTTCTCCTTTCTTCCCTGAGATCAAATTTATTTCTTTCCATCAGTCATTTGCTTTCTTTCAATGTAAATTTTACCAATCTTTTTTATTTTTATTTTCCCCTCCTGCTTTCCTAGTATGTTCTCCTCTAAAACACACACACACACACATACACACACACACACACCTTCACTTTGATCTACTAATAAAGCTCCAAACTGAGGGAAGAAGAAAATGTTAGGTGGACAATAGCAAAATATTGTTTAGCAGGTGAGAAGAAAGAGGCTGTGAATAGTCATGCCGTGATATTTATAATTGCCATATATTTTATTCTTTGTTTTATTATGTAATAAAGCAAAACTTTAAAAAATATTTTTATTGTGTTTTGTTTTTAGAGAAAGAGGAAGGGAGAGAAACATCAGTGTGAGAGCAAAACATTGATCAGCTGCCTCCTGAACTGGGGATCAATCCTGAACTGCTTCCTTTACTGGGGATCAAGCCTGCAATCCTGACAGGGAATCAAACCCGAGACCTTTCAGTGCATGGGATGATGCTCAACCAACTGAGCCACACTGGCCAGGGCAAAGCAAAACTGTTAATTTATCAAAATAAAATACTGACATGGATCTACAGCATCCAAAAGCAGGACACTTCTGAAATGTTCCTTGTTTAAAGATTTAAAGAGCCTGAAAGGAAATATCAGTTAAGTATTTCTAGCTAATGTTCTAAGTATTCCCAGGTGGGGAAAAAAGAAAAGAAAAAAGAAACCCATTCAGGGCATAAGAATAAAGAATGGCAAGTAAATAAAGCAGCAGCCGTGACCGACTTATGTTAAAATTAATTTGTCAGTTTAAAAAGCTGATGTTTGGACTTGATCTTTTGCTGCAAGCAGGCTGGTGTTGACACCGGAAGACTGTGTGAAAAGTGTGGTGGCTAGTGTGCGATCTGTGACTCCTATGTGCACAGATGTGATGAGTGTAACTGTGGCCTCTCTCAGGGGGCCGTGTGATCTGTGGAGGCCCTGGAATCTGCTGCCCATCATTATAAGGACTGTGCCATCCAGGAGAAAGACAGGGATGGCTGCCCTAAGACCGTCCATTTGGGGAGCTCTAGGACAGATCTCTTCTATGGACACAAAGAATACAGCTTCAAGAAGAGGTAATTGGTGCACTGCCTCTTCCTCTCCCATCTACTACCGGCAGAAAGGTGTGGAGAGCAGAACATCGCCCGAATGGTCTGGCAGGACACTGGCATCTTCCCACCCTTCTCTCTCCTCTTATCCAGATGAAGTGGTGGGAATGGAAAAGGACTCTTCACTGACCACTCTGCAGACTGTACCAGAGAAGGAAATGATACACTCATTCATGGTTTTTCTTGAATTCAAAAACAAGAATGTTTTCCACACTGGTAAGTTCTCTCTGCACCAAGAACCTCTAAAACGGGAAGAATATCATTTCAGTCTTCTGTTTGAAGAACTGACTACAATGTGTTCTTACAGCAGCTCTGACGGAGGTTGTCCTGGATGAAACATGTGCAGTGTGGTGGGAGCTCTCAGAACAACACATGTGGGCATTTAGACTTGTAATATGTACCAGGCAGTGCTGGTCCATGTTATTTTTCTTCTAAGAGATTGGTAACCCTTTTTTTTTTTTTAATTGTAATAATAAATGTAATTATTTTCTGGTAGTCGGGCACTGTCCTCATTAAACACACACACACACACACACACACACACACACACACACACGCATGCACATACTCGTGTTTTCATTATGTTCTGATATGAACAAGTTGGTTTCTGCTAGAACAAGGAATACCAGGAATTTCAGATGGAGAGTCCTGAAGTTCTTGTCCCTTGAAAGTGGCAAGGAGAGAGAATCCACAGAGGCGGCAGTGCAGGGGGTGGGTGGAGGAACAGCTCAAAGACAACTGTAGGGCTCTTGTAGACCTTGTGTTTGGCTGCTTCTGTGTGCATGAGCTCTCTCTCCAGAGAGAGTCCATGATATGGAAAGAAAACAGAGAGACTTCTCCTTTGGTGGCTAGTGATTATTTAACATAATTTGGGATATACAATAGGTCACGGGGGTTTCA